ACTTGAACCCAGAAAGCGGAGGTTGCAGTGAGCCAAGACCACAACAGCACTCCAGCCTGGGCCACAAGAGCAAAACTTCCGACTCAAAAAAAAAAAAAAAACCCAAAAAACAATTCAAACAACACAAATATATGGGCAATCAGTAATGCTGAAATAAATTTATAAATAGTTGACAACTGGTCAGTAGACACTGGGAAATAAGTGATTGCATTGCACTGCTTCTTTTTTTTTTTTGAGAGGGAGTCACCCAGGCTGGAGTGCAGTAGCATGATCTCGGCTCACTGCAACCTCTGCCTCCCACGTTCAAGCAATTCTCCTGCCTCAGCCTCCCCGGTTGCTGGGATTCCAGGCACCAGCTACCATGCCTGGCTAATTTTTGTATTTTAATAGATATGTGGTTTCACCATGTTAGCCAGCTGGTCTCAAACTCCTGACCTCAAGTAATCTGCCCGCCTCGACCTCCGAAAGTGCTGGGATTATAGGTGTGAGCCACCACATCTTCTGGCAATGAAAGAAGCAGGCCTTTGTAGAGTCACATAGCCAGGAAGGGTGGACTAGACAGAGCACTCAGTAATCATCTTTCTTTCTGTCCATTTCAAAGCCTATCATGATTTTTCCTAAAAATGAATATATGTGAAGGTGTTGGGGGTAGAGGCCATAGTCTTCTTTTCCAAGTTCATAGGTTGTTTTCTCCATACCAAGAAAGCTTGGGACCTAGTCATTAAAATATCCACCAGACACTGCAGAATTTGTTTTTTGTTGTCAGAAATACAACATTCACAAATATCATGTAAAGCCCAGGTATGAGGCTGGGTGCAGTGGCTCACACCTATATTCTTAGCACTTTGGGAGGCCAAGGCAGGATCACCTGAGCTCAGGAGTTTGAGACCAGCCTGGACAATAGGGTAAGAACTTGTCTCTTAAAAAAAGAGAGAGAGAGAGAAAACAAAGCCCAGGTATGATTAACATATTTTCTATGCATGTTTTAAACACAACTCACAAATCACCCCTAAAAATACTAATCTTCCATATAGATTGCTGAGTTAGACAAACATAATCTCTTGAACCCCCGACCTCAGGTGATCTGCCCACCTTGGCCTCTAAAGTGCTTGGATTACAGGCATGAGCCACTGCACCCGACCCCCAACAAACATAATTTCAAAACAAACAAGATTACCATTTCTTTCTACCCAAATGAATTATCTAGTCAAACAATATTTCATTTCTATTTGCTAAAGTAAGGCTCAAGGAAGTATTTTAATGGTACAGGCTTTCTATATGAAATGAGCTTGATACCAAAAATACTAGGACACACTTGCCATATTGGCCAAGTTTCTTTTTAATGCCTATTGCTGACAAAAGCGGGAAACAGGCACTGTGTATATGGACACTGCTGTTAAGAATGTTAAATGGCACAAAGTTTTCAAAGGGCAACTTGTTAATATGCAACAAAAACATTTAAAATGTGCATACCGGCCAGGTGTGATTTCCAGCATTTTGGGAGGCCAAGGCAGGTGGACCACTTGAGGTCGGGAGTTCAAGATCAGCCTGGCCAACATAGCAAAACCCTGTCTCTACTAAAAATACTAAAATTAGCTGGGTGTGGTGGTGCATCAATTCTTCTAGCTACTCAAGAGGCTGAGGCAGGAGAATTGCTTGAACCCAGGAGGTGGAGGTTGCAGTGAGTGGAATTCGTGCCACTGCACTCTAGCCTGGGCAACACAGTGAGACTCTGTCTCAAAAAAAACAAAACAAAAACAAAAACAAACAAAAAAAAACAGTGCATTAAAAAAAAAAAAGAAGAAGATAAAAGAAAAGATGGCCGTTTGTCTAGAAAATACCTAAGATATCCAAAAAATAGAGCTACTAGGCCAGGTATGTGGCTCATGCCTATAATCCGGGTGCTTTGGGAAACTCAGATGGGAGGATCATTTGAGCCCAGGAGTTTAAGACAAGCCAGGGCAACATAGCGATGCCCTGCCTATTAAAAATAAAATTGTGACCAGAAATGGTGGCTCACTCCTGTAATATCCCAACACTCTGGGAGGTCAAGGTGTTTCAGTTGACGTCAGGAGTTCAAGACCAGCCTGGCCAACATGGCAAACCTCAACTCTGCTGAAAATATAAAAATTATCTGTAATCCCAACAACTTGGGAGGCTGAGGCACAAAAATCGCTTGAACCTGGGAGGCAGAGGCTGCAAGGAATGGAGATTGCACCATTGCACTCCACCCTGGGCCGCAAAGCAAGACTATGTCTCAAAAAATATATAAATAAATAAAATTAAATTGCTGAGTGTAGTGGCTTACTGCTGTAATCCCAGTTACTTGGGAGGTTGTGGTGGGAGAATCATTTGAGAATCAAGAGCAAAATCAGAAGGCTAACACAGGGTTTCAAGACGTATTATAAAGCTACAGTAATCATGACACTACCATAGACTTTGTAAATACTGTACATTAAGCTATCCTCATTTTTTTTTTTTGAGATGGAGTTTCACTTGTGTTGCACAGGCTGAAATGCAATGGTGCAATCTCAGCTGACCATAACCTCCGCCTCCCAGGTTGAAGTGATTCTCCTGCCTCAGCCTCCTAAGTAGCTGGGATTACAGGCATGCACCACCAAGCCCAGCTAATTTTTTGTATTTTTAGTAGAGATGGGGTTTCTCCATGTTGGTCAGGATGGTCTCGAACTCCTGACTTCATTCAGGTGATCTGCCTGCCTAGGCCTCCCAAAGTGTTGGGATTACAGACATAAGCCACCACACCCGGCCAGGCTACCCTAAATGAATACATTTTCTTTTCTTCTTAGCTTCCTATAACTTTTTTTTTTTGAGACAGAGTCTTGCTCTGCCAGTCACCCAGGCTCGAGTACAATGGCACGATCTTGGCTCACTTCAACAACCATCTCCCAGGCTCAAGCAATTCTCCTGCCTCAGCCTCCCAAGTAGCTGGGGTTATAGGTACCCACTATCATGCCTGGCTAAATTTTTTGTAGAATGGGGTTTCACCATGTTGGCCAGGCTGGTCTCAAACTCCGGACCTCAGGTCATCCACCCACCTCGGCCACCCAAAGTGCTGGGATTACAAGCGTAAGCCACCTTGCCTGGCTTACTTTATAACTTAGAAATCTTTAAAATTTTTTGACTCTTTTTTTTTTTTTGAGACAGAGTTTCGCTCTTGTTACCCAGGCTGGAGTGCAATGGCGCGATCTCGGCTCACCGCAACCTCCGCCTCCTGGGTTCAGGCAATTCTCCTGCCTCAGGCTCCTGAGTAGCTGGGATTACAGGCACGTGCCACCTCGCCGAGCTAATTTTTTGTATTTTAGTAGAGACGGGGTTTCACCATGTTGACCAGGATGGTCTCAATCTCTTGACCTCGTGATACACCCGCCTCAGCCTCCCAAAGTGCTGGGATTACAGGCATAGCCACCGCACCCGGCTTTTTGACTCTTTTGTAATAACAATTAATGCACAAACACATTTACAGCTGTACAAAAATATTTTCTTTCTTTATATCTTTATTCAATCAGCTGTTTTCTATTAATTTTTTCTTTCTCTTTAAACTTTTTTTGTTAAAAACTAAGACACATTCTCCTCCAAACCTGTTTCTGGATGACTGGGGAGTTGTGGGGGGGGGGGAAACTAACACACATACATATTAGCCTAGATCTACACAGGGTCAGGATCATCAAGACGTCACTAGGCAATAAAATTTTTTAGCTCCATTATAATCTTATGCAACAACCATACAATTAACATATGGAATCTGTTATGTAGTAAGTGACAATATATAGAAAGAGAGATCCAGTGATGGCCTGCATGGCTTGGTCTTATTCAACATTTTTTTTTTTTTTGAGACAGAGTCTCATTCTGTTACCGGGCTGGAGTATAGTGGTGCAATCTTGGCTCACTGCAACCTCCACCTCCTGAGTTCAAGCAATTCTCCTGCCTCAGCTTCCCGAGTAGCTGGAACTACAGGTGCATACCACCATGCCAAGCTAATTTTTTGTATTTTTAGTAGAGACGGGGTTTCCATATATTGGCCAGGATGGTCTCAATCTCTTGACCTCGTGATCCACCTGCCTTAGCCTCCCAAAGTGCTAGGATTGTAAACATGAGCCACCACACCCGGCCTTGTTCAACATTTTTATAAATGCCTTGTATGAGGACACAAATGTACGTATTTATCAAACCTGCAGTGACACAAAGCTGACAAGGATACTTAATAACAATGGATGATGGAATCAGGATCCAAAAGGTCTTGACAGGCTGCAACTCTGTGTCGAATCTAACAAGATGAAATTTAACAATGACAAAGGTGAGTCTGACACTTAAGTCCAGAAAATCAATATAAGGCCCTGACTTGATGACAATTCAGGTAGAAAACAGGGTTTTTCAACTGACTGAAATCATAGCAACAGTCAGAAACAAGGAAGTCAGAAAGAAGAGGGGTTAACTGTACAAATACTATTTCCTTTCAGGTCAACATAAGCTTTTAGATAGACTTGCAAAACACAATAGGCCACTTCAGGAGGTAAGTATACATTACTGGAAGTCTTCAAGCCAATTTTGATAACAACTCCGGATGTTGAAGAGGGAGTACTGGAATCTCATATAAGGTTTAATGGAAGAAATGACCCCAAATAGTGCCTAGATTCCATAATTTATTTACATATTGTTAGATGTAATTACAACTTATGAGGTAAAAATAATTTCATTCCAATTGATTTAGTAGACTCATTAGTTAAGTCTCTGAAAGATCTACTGAATGAGGAGGTCATATTTAGGCTTTTTCCCTCCTTTTCTTCTATTAGTCCAAAGACTTTTTTTTTTAAGAGTGATAATAAGGCCAGGCGTGGTGGCTCACGCCTATAATCCCAGCACTTTGGGAGGCCGAGGTGGGTGGATCACGAGGTCAAGAGATCGAGACCATCCTGGTCAACAAGGTGAAACCCCATCTCTACTAAAAATACAAACAGTTAGCTGGGCATGGTGGTGCGCACCTGTAATCCCAGCTACTCAGGAGGCTGAGGCAGGAGAATTGCTTGAACCCAGGAGGCGGAGGAGGTTGCGGTGAGCCAGGATCGTGCCATTGCATTCCAGTCTGGGTAACAAGAGCGAAACTCCGACTCAAACAAAACAAAACAAAAAAAGAGTGATAATAGTACTTTCTCACTTCTCTTGAACTTGAACTCCCGACCTCAGGCGATCTGCCCACCTTGGCCACCAAAGTGCCTGGATTACAGGTGTGAGCCACCATGCCCGGCCTCTCACTTCTCATTACTAACTTAAAAACTAAGCTGGGCACGGTGGCTCACGCCTGTAATCCCAGCACTATGGGAGGCCGAGGCGGGTGGATCACGAGGTCAAGAGATCGAGACCATCCTGGTCCATGAGGTAAAACCCCATCTCTACTAAAAATACAAAATTAGGTGGTGCGTGCCTGCAATCCCAGCTACTGGAGAGGCTGAAGCAGGAGAATTGCTTGAACCCAGGAGGCGGAGGTTGCAGTGAGCCGAAATCGCGTCACTGCACTCCAGCCTGGGCAATGAGACTCCGTCCCCCCCCAAAAAAAACTATTTTATTTATTTATTTATTTATTGAGACGGAGTCTTAATCTGTTGCCCAGGCTGGAGTGCAGTGGCGCAATCTCGGCTCACTGCAACTTCTGCCTCCAGGCAGTGATTCAAGTGATTCTCCAGCCTCAGCCTCCTGAGTAGCTGGAATTACAGGCATGCACCACTATGTCCAGCTAATTTTTTATTTTTAGTGGAGACAGGGTTTTGCCATGTTGGCCAGGCCAGTCTCCCAGTCCTAACTTCAAGTGATCCACCCGCCTTGGCCTCCCAAAGTGCTGGGATTACAGGCATTAGCCATCACGCCTGGCCTTAAAAACTATTTTAAATTTGTTATTATGGAAATAATATATGCTCCTTGTAAATAAAATTAAACCTTTTTGATGAATATAAAATGAAAACTAAAGGCTCCTCTCTTGCTTTTCCCCCAAATACACCCCCAAACTTTCTTGGACCTCGCAAGCTTCTAAAGGCCCTCCTTTGCTGAACCTCTTGTAGACTTACAGTCTGTATACCACAAGAGTTTTTATAATATGCCACGTTTGCCTACTAACAAGAACGGAAGCTCTGTAAAGGTAAGATTTGTCTTTTACAAATCATATAACTCATGTACCAAATACACACTGTAGAAATAAAACATTTAACTTTTTGATACTTCTGAAACAAGAAATAACAGTATTATTCAGATGTTAAGTCTTATTTTCATTTCAAATTTACAGTGGACACTGGTTTTGCTGATTCTGCGTTTACCTCCTCTGACCTATCCACCACGGTCATCATTGGCTATGGTCATCCATTCAATTGTACTGAAAGGTGAATAAGATCTCTAAATCAATCAGAGCTTCACAATCCCACAGGCATGGTTTAGGGTTGGTCACGTAATCCAATCTAGACCAAAGAAGCACAATCAACTTGAAGCTGAGAGAATATAAACGACCCTGGATACTTTCAGCCATATTGGGACCAAAGAAGAGAGTCTATCCAAGTATGGAGCCAACAACCAAAAAGCAGGCATGAGAGACTGGGAGAAATGGGACCCTAGTGACATCATTTAGCACTCTTCTTAAGTATTATCATCCCATTTTTGATCTCAGAACTGTCTGACTTAATGGTGGGCCACAGTGGCTCATGCCTGTAATCCCAACCCTTTGGGAGGCTGAGGTTGGTGGATCACTTGAGGTCAGGAATTGGAGACCAGCCTGACCAACATGGTGAAATTCTGTCTCTACTAAAAATACAAAAATTAACAGGGCACGGTGGTGGGCGCCTGTAGTCCCAGCTACTCTGGAGGCTAAGCAGGAGAATCGTTTGAATCAGGGAGGCAGAGGCTGCAATGAGCCAAGATTGCACCACTGCTTTCCAGCCTGGCCAACAGAGTGAGATGCTGTCTAAAAAAGAAAAAAATAACTGTCTGACTTCAAAGCCTTCTTCCTTCACCAAGCTTACTACTCTAACTCCCTAAGTGTGTCTGTACATTTGAGAAACTCTTCTTATCAGGCCTGAAAGAGTAGATGGAAAGAAGAGAAAGAAAGGGATTATTTGGATTAAAGATATATAAAAAGATAGACAAACACATATATATATACTAGCAGACATTGAGCTCCATATCATGCAAATAGTGATGTCATGAAATATTTTATGAAAAAGAGGCAGATGTTTGGATGTGCAAAGGCTGTTGGAAAAAAAGCTTTACCAGAAAGGGGCATCTGGGGTGACCCCTCATTATTTGTCAACTGTAAATCTCTTCTGCCCCTCTCTCTTGTTCATTAGGCATAGTAGCCACCTTTCAGTTCTTTAAAAAGTAAGTATCAGCCTCAAAGCAATTATGCCACTATCCTGAAGCTCTTTCTCCAAATCCTTTCATGACTGTTCCTTTCTCACTCTTTCAGTCTCTGTTTAAATTCCACTTCTTCAGAGATGGCTTTCCAGTCCAATCAATCCCCAAAGTGGGCCTTTCCCTCCTTCCATCACAACAGCTTATTTCTTTCAAAGCTGTTATCACCAGCTGTATTTACTTAATTTGTAGTTTATCGACTGTTTCCATCACTAGAATGTAAGCTCCCTGAAAGCGAGGATTTTGTCTTGAACATCTCTTTTTATTTTTGCTTTTTTTTTGTTGAACATCTCTTTCTTTATACCCAATGTCTGGCACAGAAAGATAGGAACTAAATTAATATTTATTGAAAGAGAGAATGAGTGGCAAAATGTAATAAGATAGCTTGGGAGAGCAGTCGGCATTGTAGGGAGGGTGTTCCTAGGGAGGCGTCAAGAAAGGAAGAAGGAAAAGTGAGCTGGGCTGGACACTGAATAGGAAGCTGAAGGTTTACGTGGGCTGGAATAAAGGTGTCGGACAGGGGCTTCAGGGTTTCCCTGTACACGCGTAAGGTTGGCGGAGCGGCATAAACCACTGACCGACCAACTGTGGGCGTTCCCTTCAGGGAAACCGAATGGGACAATTGTCTTCAAACCCCGCTATGTCCTGTGCCGCGGACTTTACTCGGCTGTCTTCCGCGAAATCGCTAACCTACGGTCACCAGACTTATCGCCCGGGCCCGAGTCCCTCGGGACTCGGCAGCGTACTTGAGAAACGGACATCGTCCGCCGGTCCCAACAGAGGTCCGAAATCAACCCATTGATGCGCTTTTTCCCGTTCCCAGGCCGCCCGTGGGCCCGAACCGGATCCTTACTTACGCTTGTCTCCGGGCTATGAGCCGATGCATGGGAGTCGCCATTTTAGCGTGGTCCAAGACTGCCGCGCAGGGTTTTGGGAACTCCTCGGAAGGGCGGGGCTTCCAACCCGGAGGCCATAGACGTGGGCGGAGCCAGACAGGCCTCTGGGGTTCTGGGCAGCAGCCGCGGCAGGATCTTAGCGCTGCCTGGCGAGTCGGGAGGTCGGGAGGTCGGGAGGTCGGGAGGTCGGGAGGTCGGGAGGTCGGGAGGTCGGGAGGTCGGGAGAGGAGGGGCTGGAGGTTGGGAGGGGAGGGCCTGGTGGGTCGGCAGGGCGGGGGGCCTGGTGAGTCAGGAGAGGCCCATGGAGACCGGTGTGGGTCTCGGATTGTCGGGCCGAACAGGGTTTCGAAGGATGATTACAGCAAGTACGTTATCTGTGAAAAATGAGGACAACATTCTCCAACGAGGGATACACATACGAAGACGAAGAATAAAACTGTGGTGTTCAGAAAACTAGAGGTAGTCTGAAGAATAGAAAGGAATTAGTTGACCAGGATTGAGACCAAAGAATGACTTTAGCAAGCCATAGAGTGCAAACATAAATTCTGGTTGTTTTTTTTTTTAAATGTATTTCACAGGGTTGTTATAAATACTAAATTGGACTGTGTAACTAAAGCTGCTTTGTCAAGTAGAAAAGGACTATACAAGTATTTTAGAATATTTTAGCTGCACCTACATCTAATGTCAGCTTATGGAGCTATTATTCTATTAAACCCATAGTCTCTGAAATATATATAACTTTCTGAAGTGTGTGTCTCTGTGTGTGTTTCTTGGTCATCCATATTTTGTCTTTTCTTTTTTTTTCCAAGACGGAGTTTCACTCTTGTTGCCCAGGCTGGAGTGCAGGGGAGCGATCTCGGCTCATTGCAACCTCCGCCTCCCAGGTTCAGGCGATTCTCCTGCCTCAGCCTCCCATGTAGCTGGAACTACAGGCGCCCGCCACCACACCCTGCTAATTTTTGTATTTTTTTATAGACACAGAGTTTCACCATGTTGGCCAGGATAATCTCAATCTCTTGACCTCATGATCTGCCCGCCTCGGCCTCCCAAAGTGCTGAGATTACAGACGTGTGCCACTGCCCCTGGCCCATATTTTTTCAATCAATAATTAACACAAACTGGGCGCAATGGCTCTCGCCTGTAATCCTAGCACTTTGGGAGGCCGAGGCGGGTGGATCACCTGAGGTCGGGAGTTCGAGACCAACCTGACCAACATGGAGAAACCCCGTCTCTATTAAAAATACAAAATTAGACGGGTGTGGTGGAGCATTCCTGTAATCCCAGCTACTCGGGAGACTGAGGCAGGAGAATCGCTTGAACCCGGGAGGCGGAGGTTGTGGTGAACCGAGATTGTGCCATTGCACTCCAACTTGGGCAACAAGAGTGAAACTCCGTCTCAAAAAAAAAAAAAAAAAAAAAATAACACTTAAAATGTTTCAGGAGCTGAGGATAGAGCCTTTGAACAAATAAAATCGGAACTTTGTACAGACAATGCATGAAGACTATTCCAACGGGCCTAAGTACTCTAATGAAAAATATTTTAGGGTAAGGGATTAAAGAGTGATTAGGAGTTAGGGAAGGTGATGATGTGACCTTTGAGCACAACTTGTTCTTCAAAAAAGTAGGTTCTTACATGTTGTGTTCTCCAGCTTACTTTTTTCATTCCTCAATGTATTTATGACAATCTTTTCCCATGTCCCCACACACAAATCTAATTCCTCTTTTTATCTATTATGTTATGGATTACATGGATATTCCCCAATTTATCCAGCCAGCACCCTATTGCTGAACAGTTAGATAATTTACCACCACAACAGAAAGAGTAGATTTTTAAACAACCCCCCAGTGTTGCCGTAAGATGATGTCCTAGTAGAATTGCTGGGTCAAAGGATATGCACACTTTTTTTTTTTTTTTTTTTAGAGAAGGAAAGAAAAAAAATGAGTAAAGGAGAGGAAGAAAGAGGAAGAGAAAGAGGGAGGGTGAACGGAAATATTGCTTTATTCTGAAAAAAAATGGGTATTAATAATGGCCAATCAATGTTTCATTTAAACCTATGAGTAGGTGTGATGTGGTATTGACAAGAATGTATATTTTGTGTATTTGAAGTGGAGAGCTCTATAAATATTTATTAAGTTTACTTGTTCCGGATCTGAGTTTGAGTCCTTGATATCCTTATTAATTTTCTG